CCCCACCCCACCCCACTCCATTTCTTTTAATTCCATCCACTTTAATCATCCATTATTTATTGGGGGCCATAGGCCTGTTTACCCAGAATCTTCTGAAGCGTGAGCTGTGGTCCCGGTCCTCATGTGGGCCCCTTCTGAAGGCATGGACCTGTGTGTTTCCATATGTATGCTCTCTATTTTAAATATGACTCCCCAGCATGTCAGCCTTGGGGCTGGCCCTGAGGACACAGGGCGAGAAGGTGAGAGAGGGGCCCCTCAGGGAGTCACCCTCTGGTCCTGCTTGTAATAGGGTGTCTCGAACAAGTCACTTCAGGTGCACTGATCTGGGTCGTAACGGCAAAGAGATTAACCTCAGCTGGCATTCTGAGGGCTCTGTGAGACACAGGGCCTGTCTGGACACAAGGCATGGGACACACAGCAGGTTCAAAGGCCCCGTGGGGCTGCTTCCAGGGCTCTGGGTTAATCTGGGGGATGCTTTTTGTGTTTGAACAGTGGTGGCTCTTAGAGGAGGAGTGGGGTGGGGAGGAGCACGGAGTGGCCAGCGCCGCTGGGGAGGTAGATGCAGCATCCCCAGGCCATCTGCTGCCTCCGTGTGGAGACTCAGGTTTGTACCCAGGCTCCTGCAAGCTGGGCTACACTGTCACGCGCTGTGTGGCATGGGAGGGACCCCGGGCTCTCAGCCTCCTCGCAGGGTGTGGTACCGCCCCTCTCAGTGCCTGGGGTGGAGAGTCAATGAGGGAGGGCGTGAACATGTTTGAAGGCTGCTGTACACTGTCACATGCACTAGTGACGGCACCAAACTGTGCCTTCTGGACGTGTTGGGGGACAAGAGTCAGGCCTATCTGCCCCCTCTAACCAGCATGACTCTGCTGCTGCCCTGGCTTGAAGACCTCCGCATATTCTCACGCTCCCCCATGGCAGCCTGGTGAGAGCAGGGTTCCAGGGCTGGGGTGCACTGGGCACTTTGTTCCCAGCATCCCCGTATAGCCCGGGCAGCTGAGAGGTATCTCAGCCTTGCCACAATTTGTTCATATCCTCACTACTCGGAACTGCTTTCGTCATGTTGTTAGAGCAGTAATTCCATTTATTAGTCAAAAATTTGCATCTTTCAAGATTCTGGTGCTGGTGTTCTAAGATTCCCTATTTATCTGACCATATGCTTTATGGCTTTGTAAGTGCTGGCCACATTCTTCCCCTTTGTCTGGACTAAGTGGCTTTGGTCCTTCTAGTTAACAGCTAGTCCCATTGAGATGGGAGCACCGCCCTGCCTGGTCTGGCACCGTTGACTGTTGCACACACATACTTTCTTGCTAGACGCAGATCCTGGGAGCTTCCTTAGCACTGTGCCGCTGCTGCCTTGGGTCAGAGTCTCATCTGTGGAACCACTCCTGCTTCAGTCCCCGGGCACGCTCCTTCCTCAGCTCCCACATGGCTCCATGGGCCTGTGCGCCTCATGCCAGCAGAGGGGAGGCTGTGGCCGGCCTCACTCTGAGCTGATGGCCGGGAGGTGGTGGGTGGCCTCTGAGTGAGACCCGAGGCCGGGTCCTATGTGGGAGTGGGCTGTGCGGATGAGCAGGTGTGGGGGACGCTGTGATGTGCCTTCTGCACTTTCTTTAGGGCAGTGTTTCCCAGCTGTGTACATGCTGGGTCCCTGGGGAGCTATAGAGCGCCACTGCCCGGGCCCACTCCCAGGCACTGGTCTGTGCCGGCCAAGCCGTAGGACTCCCAGATTCCAGCACAAATCTCGTGAGGCCACGGTGAAGCTCCACAGCTGTAGAGTGTGGCCTGACAGGTCTGTGGGGTGAATACAGTTGACACGAATCGATTGTACTCCAACACAGCTAGAAAAAAATAACTGGAATGCTCCCAGGGTAAAGAACAGATTGATATTTAAGGGGATGGGTATCCCGTTACCTGGTTTGATTATGTGAATCATTACATTATCATACGTACCCTGAAAATGTACGTGTGTATGTGTATATCTAGTATGTATTATAGCAATAAAAAGTAAATAAATAGAAAATGCATAGATGAATGAAACAAAGGGAGGGGACGAGAAGAGAACCTAGGGCCTTGGTGTCCAGGAAGCGGGAGGTGGGAAAGGGGCTGAGTCAGCAGGCCCTGTGTGACCATCCGCTCCGCCTCCACACCGACCCCCACAGCAGCAGCTGGGAGCGCTGGGGAAAGGGCACCTGATCACACTGAGGGTTTGGTGGCTGGAGGCTCACTCTGGGAAGGAATGTAGCTCTTGGAGTGAGCTGTGGCCTGCAGGGGTTGTTGCATTGTTCATTCCCCCCAGCACTGCCCTCCCCACAGGTGTGTGTGTGTGTGTGTGTGTTTGTGTGTGTGTGCGCACCTCCCTTGTACGAACAAGTGCCTTAAAAATCTCTGGGTTGCACATGAGCCTTTCACAATGTGCACAGTGGGACTACTTTCATTTTCCTCCATTTGTGACAGGTTGTGTGAGGTGCTCAACCTCGATCCCAGACAAGTCTTGATTGCAGAAGTGATCTTCACAAACATTGGAGGAGCTGCCACTGCCATCGGGGACCCTCCAAATGTCATTATTGTTTCCAACCAAGAGCTGAGGAAGATGGTACGTACCAGCATGCTAGGGTTGCTTCCAACAAACGCATGCTTCCACTTACTTAGCGCTCTACCCCACGTGGACGCCTTTGTTAGAAATGAACATCATCACGCCACCTCTTCATAGTGAGTGCTACTGGGCATCTCAAGAGTGGGATGTTCGGTGACTGGTCCTTCAATCCTAGAGTTAACTGGCTTGAATTGACTTCATACTCATTCTGATCAGTTTTTAAAGAAATGACTGGATAGCATGATATAGTTAGTCATGGTATATTAATTTTATTAATAGGAACTGAGGTTTCTTCCAACTTACATTAAAAACAAAATGACCTGTCCCCTCTCACTGGAGATACGGGATTCCCTTCTTAACTGTGGTGGATTAATTTACTGATAAAGGACTTAAAATTTATTTTTTAAGGGTCAGAAATGAATGTCTTTAGAAATAAATTCTTTGAAAGCCCCCTATAAATATTAGGGTATAATTTCTTTATATACTGTAATAAAGACAAAGTGTTAGAAAGTGCAGGGTATTTTATATATCTTCAAGGTGAAAATTGAACTATATCATTAATTTTTATTCTCTACTCTTTGCTTTGATCATTAGAATTTTCTTAGTCTCCTTTCTCTGAGGTATCAGTGAAAATGCTTCTACATTGTGTTATTTCTTGTAGATGACGCGTGTGTGTGTTTGTGTGTGTGTGTGTGCGCCCGAAGGGTGTCAGTGTGTTTGTATTTGAACACTGTGTTCCATAAAAATATTTAAACCTTTGAGAACCTGTGGCTCCAGTGTGTTAGTGGCTGCCTCATGGAAGCAGCGCGCTCTGGAGGTTCTGGGTACGGGTCCGCATTCCCTCGCTGCCCCGGGAAACTGCTTGGCAACACTTCGCCAGCTTTGCCCTGTGAGCTGAGGGGTGCAGCCATGATCATGCCACCCTGGAAGGTGGTAACAGAGCCTGCGGTTTATCCTAGGGGCACCTGCTAGCCAGGGTGGAGCTCATGCTGATGGAATAGAAGTGTTTTTAGAAAAAAATTGTTATTAGTTTCATTCCATAAAAAAGTAATACATTTTTTGTAGAAAACAAAAGTCTCACAGACATGCACACACAATAAAAATTCATAATTCCACAAACCAGAGGTAAACCCTTTTAATATTTTGGTGCAAATAGCATCGTAGAGCGTTGGTTTGTGGCTACAGACGAATACAAAAGACAGTGCAGCTTCTGCTTCTGGCCAACATGGAGTAACAGGGCCGGGATGTACTCTCTTGCTTGGGAAAGTCAAACAACAAACAAAAATAAACCAAAACCAGACAAAACACAGGGAACAATGGTCACGAAGTCACTGGACACCAGGCACAAAGCGACAGTGATCCCCGTGAGACGGGAGACAGATGCGGTGAGCTCTGTGACTGCTCCAGCTCCCCACCTCCGGAGAGCCTCCAGAGCGCTGTGCAGCGAGGGACGACCCCGGCAGAGCCCATGAGACACCCTGAGTTGAGAGGATGAAGCTGAAAGTCTGGGGAGACCAGGGCAGCGAGAGTCCAGAGGGGACACAGCTGAACTGCAGAGATCCTCAGCGAGTCCCTTTGGAGTATTCAGCAGAGTGTTCAGATCAGTGCATTCGTGCGAGGAGACGACATGAGACCCGGGGAGAACAACCCAGAAAGATGAGAGGGGCGAGTGCTTGACGCACACGACGGGAATAGTGATGATGTCTATTCTGCCAGGCAGACTGGAACCTCTTAATTTTTGTATTTTTATTTTATTTTTATTTTTTTTGAGACAGAGTCTCCCTCTGTCGCCAGGCTGGAGTGCAGTGGCGCGATCTCCGCTCGCTGCAAGCTCTGCCTCCCAGTGGAACCTCTTAATTTATGGAGCACTGGGTAGAGCACTCACCAGAGTCTTGCCTCAGTCGTGAGGGGTAATTAACTACAAAGTGAACACTGCTCTGCTTCCACCTAAGAAATCTTGAAACTAAGACCCCAGAGGACCAAACTGTTTCTAAATATTTCAACTGCATCCCAGAACAAACCTCAAGAATATTTAGAGTGACACAAAAATATTCGGCAACACACAGGGTAAAACTTGCAATGTCTGGCAACCAATCAATGATTATCAGGCATGTAAAGAAGCAAGAAAATATAACCCATGACAGGCATGGTATGAACCATTTGAAACTAACGTAGAACAGACAAGGGTGTTAGAATCAGCAGACTAGGACATTAAAAGTGTTACTACAACGGTGTTACAGATATTCATCAAGTAGCAACATTAAAGATACTAAAAAAGCCCCACATTAAACATCTAGAGGTGAACATTACAATGTCTGAGATAGAAACACACTTGTTGGGATTAGTGGCACGTTAGGTATTACATAAGGAAAGATGAATGAACTTGAAGACATAGATTCAAAATGAAACGGAGTAAAAAGATAATAACAAGGGCTGAAAAGCATTAGTGAGCTATGGGAAAACGTCACGTGGCCTAACATACATGCAATTCTCATCTCTGGAGGAGAGAGGGGAATGGAAAAAGACACCTGAAAAATGGTCCTAAATTCCAAATTTGATGAATGGTATAAACCGACAGAATCAAGTTCAATGAAGCCAGAGCACAGGAAACATGAAGAATCCTACAGTAAGGCACATCATAAAAAAATTATTTGAAAACAATGATAAAGAGAAAATCTTAAGTTTCCAAAGAAAAAGACATGTTACAGGCAAGGAAACAAAGATAAAGATGACAATAGATTTCTCTTTAGAGATAATGCATGTGTGAAGGCAATGGAGCAATACCTTTAAATACGGAAGGAAAACACCTGTGATCTCAGAATACTACACCCAGTGAAAATCTCTTTTTCTTATGTACAAAAACAGACTTTTTCTCATATAGAAAAGCTAAAAGGAATTCATCAGCAGCAGACCCACATGTAAGACATACTAAAGGAAGTCTGTAAGGCAGAAGGAAAGTGACACCACGTGGAAACATGGATCTTCACAAAGTCAGAAGAATACTGAAAAGGGTAACTACATGGGTAAATTCACATAAGTTAAAAAATTACTCAAACCACTTTGAGATAATTGTTTAAACAAAATAATAATGTAACATGTAAGTAGAATTGATGAAAACAATAAA